GTCACACCAAAAACCCTTCCATAGGGGTATGGATATTTTCTGTAACAATAAAACAGATTAGAAGACAACAAAATCACTTTTCATAAATTTCAATGACCACAATAAAATGTTATTTGTTGATAATGGTATCAATGTTTATTCCAAAAATCTATTGCCACTTTAATTGTAACCACCTCTAAAATTTAAGTCCAGTGCTCGCATGTGGCCAATCTCGTCAGTTTGGTTGATTCTAAGACACTAGCCACGGCAAAATAATGTCTGCATAAATTCCAAGCTCATCCCCTCCACCTCCCACTAGGAAAATGCTCCTTGGTTAGTTAGCTAATTACCAAAAAATTCCCCATGGTGGGGCCTGGGAAACAGTGCAGGTTCCAATCCTATGGGACAAGATCAAGATTTATCATGGAAACATTAATGGGATCGTAAAGAGTACATGTTTTTCTTTTTGCAAGCAGTGAACTTCTGGAAAGTCAATTGTAGTATATTAAGACAGTGGTTGTACATTTGTACATGTAAAAGTATACATCCAGGGTAATGCGAGCACGGGAAGATGGTGTTGAAACCTGTACTGTGTATGCTGTTGTCTTTTGCCTTCGTGGCTGCCTTTTGTGGCAATAAGTAATGCAACAATTGGCACTCAATTCCATCAGTCATGGACGTTATGTCCACATTCCTACCAGTGATAAAGACTCTTTGGTTTGGCAGACATAGTCAGCAGGCAAACTTGCACAAACTGATCTCAATTAAATAATCTAATTGAATAATGACAGCAGCCAAGTGCTAATGAATTGGCTGTTTTGTCCCACAAAGCTATCAAATTTAAGCTTCTTTCTCTGCCATCTTTGGTTTGCATGTGGAAGCAACATTGCTAATTTGTGCACATGTGGGGAACTCAAATAAGGATTATCAACTCAGTTTTCATGCCTTGTCAAAGAAAAAGTATCAAAATTCAAGTCAAGCACCAGCCAGCTGATCGACAAATAAAAGGCTTGTAACTGAAACTGATTGCATTTCCTCAGTAAATTCATCAACAAAATGTTGATCTTATAAAAATAGTTATTGGAAGAACAAGAGATCATCAGACCCAATCAAGTACACAATTTATAATACCACTAATAATGAAACTAGAAACTACTGGCAACTTGCCAGTTACCTACTCTAGGAAGCCAGGCCAGAAGCAAACAAGTGAATATAATTCCTATGACAATATTAACTAAATAATATAGAAGATGAGAATGCTGCTTCTGTCTTCCCTGGCCATTCTTTTTGAAATGTTCTGTTACTCCATCAAGTGTATATTTCTGTGGATTGTAACCAATATCATCACAGGCTTTCTTCATACTAAAGTAATGTGTTACTCCTGATTTGTATACCTAATCAAAAGTAGAAAGAAAGTTTAAATAGTGATGAGAAAAAAACATTGTCAGAACATTTTGTTGAACAAAGCTAGACAAGAGTAAGTCTCGTCTACCAATCAAAATGATCCCAAATGACTGTTGACTATGTAAGCTTATATCAGAAAGTGTAAGTTGGGTTCTCTTTTGAGGATGCTGTGAAAAGAAGGTAAAAATATCCACTTGGGTCAAAATAGTCCACAGTCCTGGTGCTTATACCTATTTCATTAAGGATGAGGAGATTAAGAGTAATGCTACAGTAACTCTCCCTGGATGGGATGCTAGTCCATCACAGTAACCAAACAGTTTACTGGTACCCTTAACAGACAGATGCTAGCCTAGTCAACTAATCATTAGGCCACTGTGCTTCCCATCAACAAAATAATTTCTTGAAAGGGACATTCTGATTTTCACACAAAAAAAATTCTAGTCATTAGGTACTTATCAAAAGAATACAAATATTAAGATATTTTATGCAGCAATTTATTTACCTCTGCTCTTGTAAGGAATGGTTGGAAGTTATAAATATATTTTCCTACCACTGAGTGAACCAACTCTGTTAGGAATGCTGGGGAAAAAAGGAAATCAATGATTACAACTTCTAGCATAACAGTTACTTTATTAACAGACCACCCAACACTCATTGACTAGTTAGAGCAAGAGTTTTGACCAAAACATTAAGTATTGAGCTTTCTGGAAGTCATTCACAAAGATTATTTTTGTCTCTTGCTTGTTTGATGTACCATTGAGGTCAATTAAATTATCCTGCTCCTATGACCATAAATTGAACTGTTAGGATTGATCTGATTACAAACAAACCCATATATTAAGCATTTGGTTCAAAAGTCTTAGATGGTCTCGACTGCACCGTAAAAACAATAACAAAAAATGATCTTCAAAAATATTCTATTTGGGGCTTGTTACTTTCGGGGGATCATTACTTTCAAAGGGTCATAACTTTCAGGGAGAAAAAATGTTATATAAGGTTGGTATGACCGGACTCTTCTTCCAGTTTAAATCTATATTGCTGCCACATGGGTGAGCTGTTCATGTCTAGACCATGTTGTCAGTGGTCGACAGGAAAGCTAGTCAGACACCATTAACTGTTTCAAGAAAACATGAGATTTTATGTTGGCTGTTTGTACTTCACTACACACAAATTGACATTTCACAACGCTTTGTGGCATATTAAGCGACCCTTCCCTTGTTGGAGAGTACCTTATATCAAGTTACCACATGTAACTTTTGCCTGACTATTGATTGGAAATTAAAATAAATATTCTATTGAACCTGGGTCCCACTATTTTCTGAGAAGTGGGGTAATTAGGGGCAGGCTTGTTACTTTTCGAAGGCTTGCTATTTTCAGCAAGTTGCTACTTTTGGAAGTTTACAGTACTCTTAACATACCGGTAAGTTATTTGCTATGAACTATTTTAACAGACCATTGGACAGATATTGACAAGTCAACCAATGTAGTGGTCTGAATGGAATCTAACTTACCAACCAAATAGACCAGAGTAATTGGTACCTTTAACTTGGGCATGGTGCATCCCAGACCTTCAGTCAACCAAGACAAAACGAAGTAAGCTGCTATCAGTGAACATGTTATAGGTTACCAAGAGTCAGGGTTAACTAAGTCTTGTAATACTTTTTTTGATAATTAACATGCACTCTTTGGCTTTCACTACTGTATGTATCCCATGTTTAGTCTTTAATTAATCAAGCTTGCTTGGGAGCCACCATGCCTCCTCCTTAGGAAAAAAAATTTCACTAAATATCATCTTGACATACACGCAGTCAAACATTAAACACACTAGCTGTAACTTACTAAAGGTCTGAAGAACTCAAAATTGTTAATTGGTGAGTTGTCAGATATAAAATATGCTTCTCCTGCCTGGAAGATCATTTGAATAAAAAAAAAAAAAAAATTAATAACAATCATAATAATAGTTTTAATGACACAAAATTTGTCTTCACATAATCATTATAAATCATATTGTTAAAAGTCAACTTAGGAAGGATGGATAATAACACTCCTCTTAACTGACTGCATTAATTGCTTCAAAAACTGGAGCTTCAGACATGGTGGTGTTTGCGATCCACTGGATTGAAAATTGACAAGAGCATCTTACACAAGCAGAGTGCAGCCTTTGTGTGACATACAAATATGCCATGCAAGTAAAACTTGCCTCGTGAAAAATAGCATCTAAATACATAACAGTGTCACACTTATATTAAGGGACTGTAAATCTCCATGCTTTATAATCTGATACAAACAGTATTGAGTCCCTGTTAAAGGATTACATCTGCCTCTCTTTCGATAGCAATTTTGGAACTAGGTCCTTGCATCACCAACAGAATTTTATCTCAAGCCCTATCGTTTATTGTTATTTCATTTGCCTCTCAGTGTTGCTGTTTTCATGCTGTGTCATTATGTCAAAATATTACCCACAGGTCCCTGTATTACATGTATTTGCTTGATATTGTACAGACTCACACAAATTTAATGTGTTTCTTTAGATTATACTCACAGCTGTTGAATTAGCTTCCATGAGAGCTTTTCCTGCCAAAATATGAGCTTCAACCAAATTATTAACATGTACAAAGTCAACAACAGCACCATCCTGACCAAATGTGAAGACAAAAAGTCCTCTCTCAATGTATGACTGGAAATGTAAGAAACGCAACAGCATATTATGTTATTAAATAAAAACATTCTGCAATGGGCAGATTTTGACTGTTTTTTTTTTCTTTAACAAAGGATTTAAAGTTACCAATTATATGAAATACAATGGAAACCCTCTCAAAACACATGCTTATTGAGTTTTTTTTTTTGGTAAAAAGAAAAATCCCTCTAAGTTAGCATGTCAGGACTATTTATTGAATGGGTTTTGGGTGGATGGTTGGGTGGACAGGCAATGTATGTTTGTGGATTAACACAGCTGAGCTATAATTTAACAATACTATTTAAAACATGACACTCTTCTCCCTCTATACAGTCAATTTATATGCCATTATATGCCATTCACGAGGTCCAATTACTAATTAATCATATCTATAACAAATTTCGGAATTAAAAATGTCTTTTAAGAACTCCTTTTGAGTGAAACGTATGTAGCGCGTTTCATAAGTTTTGAAAACTGTAGGAATCATTACAAAGGAGGCCATTAAAGCGCACGTAATTGATGTGTGAATCATGTGGGTATCCAATTACAGGTGTCCAATTACAAAAAGTTCAAATTGGAAACCTGTAATTGGACAGCCATGTGATTGCATGCTGATTACATGGCAAATAGGCGTGTCGAGAACCAATCACGATCAAGAATTTTGTTATAGATGTGATTAAGAATTAACACACTGCATCTATCAAAAACTTACAAACTCTGCTGAATTAACGGTTGCATCTTTTCCTACCATCAATTGCCTCAGGAGATTTCTCAGGAAACAGTTGTGCACTTTAAAAGGTTTAAATGGTCATGTCCGGTTTGTGATTTGTGGATTATGATCCATTTTGCAAATTGGATGTGTGTTCTCTACTTGTAAAACCAGTCCTGTCAGTAAGATTTGAATGAGAGAGGCCTAAAACTACTTTCTTTCAGGGCCAAAGTATGACAACGGCTAACATTATATAGTTGGCAATTCATAACATAATACCTACTAGGCCTCTGGCAGGTGCCAGGTCTTGTTGAAAGTACTGTAAAACTCACCTTGCAGATTTGAACCATTGGCAATTAAAACAAATTGTTCAGCTATAGACTTTGTTCTGGAATAATGATCAGGATGCTAATGAAAAATGAGATAGAATAATGGTAAAAAAGTGCATGGACTGCCAGATGATCACAGATGAACATAATTTCAACTGTTTTTCATGCCATCAGAGCCATATGTATCTGTCATTAATGAAAGCTTTTTCAGAGCTTAGAGTGTCTTAAAATGCTGGTGCTTAACTCCAGTTTTGATTTCTGTGGCATCAAGTGAACAAGAGAATTTCTACTTCCCCTGGATGGGATGCTACTCCAATGAAGGGATTGCTGAACCAGCATTTCACTTACTGGTGGTTTCCAATTCCTTACACCTGGGTGGTAAGAGTACCGTGAGAACAAGGCACCCTAACCAGATAAAATACAATGACCCTGGCATGGCTTTAATCCCAGACCACATAATTCAGAGTCTAACACAAAATTAAATAATTATTACAGTTGAAGGCCACAGTACAACCTACTTGGTTAATCTCAAACTTAAAATAAGAACTAGAGGGGAAATTTGCTTTGTGAATAGTTTATTGGGAAGAATGGTTATGAAGCCCACCAATAAGTAAACAAAGCTGCTATTAGGCTTATTTCACGATTGTTCGCAATCCTTTTTTTACACTCACACACACTTCATGAATTATAATGTAACCGAAATGTATTTATAGGTTAGTTCCTCAGACATAAGAGAACAGCCGTAAATGTTTTTTGTGCACACCACTGAAATGAAAAATACGGGGAAAAAAACAAAGAACTTTGTCGGCTCAATAACCATTCCTCAAAGCTATTAACTATGCTTTGAGTGAGGAGACATATTAAGCCTATAAATTAACTGCTTTCATACAACTACAGCAGGAGGATTACCTTGTATAGAGGTAAGTAAGGTAAAGATTCATCGCCATTTCTAATCACCTGTCCACCAAAAACCACATTGTAAGTGCTCGTATAAACGAGATGAGCCACATTATACTGGCAGCAGGCTACAAATAAAATTAACCACATAAATTATAAATATGTATTAAAAATTAAATCAGAAAAGGTCAAGCATCACCACAGACATTCTGAAACTTAAAA